AGATTTTTTCTTTTGCTTTTTATTTTTGGTGTTGGGGGGGGGAGGGGGCGACACACCTGGCAGTGCTCAGGGCTTCTTCCTGGCTCTACACTCATGGATCACTCCTGGTGATGCTCAGGGGGTCCTCTTATGAGTACCACGTGGGGTGCCGGGGATCAAACCTGGCTTAGCTACGTGCAAGGCAAATATCCTGCCTGCTGTACTCTCTCTCTGGCTTATTTTTGGTGTTAGTGGTCTCAGAAATAGCAGCCCACCTTTCTAGTTCCCGAATCTTCCAACCCTCTCAGCACATTCACGGGAAGTGAGATGTGGCTAAAAGCAAGCAAACAAGCCTTCCTCTGCCTCCCATAGTATCATCTCCTGGACAGTAATCAGCTGGAAAGAAAAATAAAACAAAGTAAAACGTGGGGGACGGGGGCCACAGAGTGGGTAAGGCCTTGGTTGTAACTTATCCAGGTTCGATCCCGAGCACCACATGTGGTTTCCAGAGCCTTGCCAGGAGTGATCCCTGAGTGCAGAGGCTCCTAAAAGCTAAGGGGAAAAAAGTCCTCTTGGGTCATAAACCGACTCTTGGGAAAAAGACTGCCCACCCCCTAATCCTGTCACGCATCTGACCCTCTGGCTTGCCATTCTGGGTTACCTAGTATTGAAACTGGCTGCTGGATGAGGCCTGGGCTGGGAGTTTTCAGCTTTACAAAGAATGATGAGGGTCAGATTAATGGTAATTGCTCTGGGGAGGGGGGGGAGGGGGAACCCAGAGCACAACTGAGGTTCCAAAGCCATCTGCAAAAGTACCCAATCGTTAGGCGGTAGCTGACAGCAGCGCAGGCTTCATATGGATCAGGCCCTGGGTTCCATCAACAGCAACGACAAAAAGACCCAAGGCATGATGGGAGGAGTCACTAAATCACTTGCACGGAGCCATGTGGAACGAGGAACAAGGTCGTCCTTTCATGAGCCGGGAGTGGGAACGGCTGGCAGGAAAGGGAGGGACCCCATAAAACCCACAAAGCTGCTCTATCATACACGCTTTGCTCGCAAGCCTGGATGGAAAACTGGAGCAAGGCCAAGATTCCGCGGAGGCCAGCGGCCCAAGCCCAGCCCACTCCACATCCCGCCACACTTCTCTGGGCATGTCCCGTGAACACAAGTTCCATAGTAACCAAAAACCTGCGGCTGGGAAGCCAAGAAGTCCACCTTTGTTTCACTCAGCGCTTCTCAGAAACGGGTTTGATACTGGAATGTTTCGCAAACACCACTCACTGCTTCACGGACGGGGGACTAGCGAGAACCTCAGCTCCAAGAGGCCAACTCGGTCCCATTCCCGGCGGATGCCTCCCCCGGGATGCGCTGCCGGCCCTTTCAACTCCTCCCATCCCCCCTTCCCATTCAGACTGTTGAGGTGAGTCCCGTGAGTCATGCTCGGCTCTGTCTCTGCAGGTGCAAAGGGCAGTTGTCTCCGACCTGCTCGGCAGGGGAGCGTCATGTGACAGAGGTACAGGCACTGCCTGTCTGTGGCCCTGCCCTGCTGCTCTTCCAGAAAAGTCTGAGTGAGAGGGTATGATTCAGTGGCTTGTCTTCAGCCTCCTGCTTGGACGGCGCCCAGGACAGCACCATGCACTGTGGTCACTGCGTCTTTATGAAAAGCACTTGCACCCTTCGGTCCCGACTTAAAAAACACATGTACATTATTATGTATCATTTAATAAGTGCATGATGCTGAGGTGTCTATTCTCTGGCACCATGGTCCCACTCTGAGTCACCCCACAGGAACACCACTCCACATATCCACCATGGTTTCAGAGTTGCTGGGTCACTTTGCTCAGGTTCACTGCAGTTCAGAGAAGGACTAAAGCCCTTACTCCCCTGTTTTTATCTCCATTTCTTATTTTTTAAGGCACCATGACATACAAAATTATTCATGATTTTCAGGCATACAACGTTCAAGTGCCCTGCCTGTTGTTTTTTTGGGTCACATCTGGCAATGCTCACAGGTCACTCCTGGCAGTGCTCAGGGGACCAAACGGGATGCTGAGGATCACACCCTGGTAGGCCGTTTGCAAGGCAAACACCCTACCTGCTGTATTACCGCTCTGGCCCCACTCTGCCTCCATTTTTATTTTTGGTTTGGGGGCCACATCCTGCATTGCTCAGGGGCTATTCTGGGCTGCAGAATAGCTACTCTGGATTATTCTGAGTCCAGGAGTGACCCCTCTTGGTGTTCAAGGAACCATATGTGGTGCTGTAGATGAGACCCGAGGGTCAGCCGTGTGATAAGCACGGGTCTTCCCCCTCATACTGTTTCTGGTCCTAGTCAGATTTTTAAAAACCTCTTGTCTGGCAGACAAGGTAACGGTTTCTAGCAGGTCCGGATCCTTTCCATGGTCCTGTGTGCTTCTCCATGAAGGTAGGCCTGTGCCTTTCTCTAATCCCCGCATCACCTGTTGAAGTTGTGATGGCCGGGTGGGGGTGCTGTGGGGAACTCGTGCTGCCTGGGGTGCTCACACAATTTGGGGTTGTGTTCTCCCAGTGGCACGCTCCTTCTGACCCGATCCTACCACACATTCTGGTGGTGCTCCACATTGGCTTCCTATTTATCGGGGGCAGGCGCCCAGGACATAGCTCTTACTCCCCAGGAAACCATATGCAGTGCCCAGAAGTGAACTTGCGCTGGGAGCACACATCAGCCTTGCTCCTCCACTACTACTCCTTCCCTCTCTCTCCTGGCCTTGGGATCCTTTTTTTGTGTACTGGAGTCACACCCAGCCGATGCTCAGGGTTACTCCTGGTGGTGCACGGGGAACTGTATGGTACGCTGGGGATAGAACCCTGCAGGTCTACAAGGCAAGCGCCCTACCAACTGTACGGTCTCCCCAGCCCTTGGCTTCCTTTTCACTTCCCTCTACTTATTTCAGGAAGCCATTTTATTATTTTTTTTTGAGTGCTTAATATACTCAGTATGAACACAAGTTCTCTTGCCCTTTCCAACCGTGTCTATGGTCACATGTGAGGGTGTTCTTTTTGAAGCGCCCATTCCTTTTATGTGTACACACCACCTTGCTTGTATGTGGCTAAAGAAACAAGCTCCACATTTTCCAGGAACCCTGGAGAACATACAATACATGCCTCTCCTCTTTCCCTTCCTGTTGATCATTTTGGTGATTTGCTGAAAGATGACAGTTAGGTCAAAAGTCACCTTTCGGGAAAAAAACAAGGGGCTAGAGCGATAACACAGCAGGTAGAGCGTTTGCCTTGCACGCGGCTGACTTGGGTTTGATTCCCAGCATCCCCTATGGTCCCCCGAGCACCACCAGAAGCACTTGCCTTGCAACTGGACGACCTGGGTTCAATCCGTGGCACACCCCTAGGAGTGAGTCCTGAGCACAGCTGGGTGTGGCCCCCAAACAAACCAAAAGAAAACCACAGTACTTTCCAGGGGCATCTCTGCCCCGCCCAGGGCCCAGAGCACTGGTTTCGGGTGGCTGGAAGCGGGCAAGTGTTGGTATGCTACTTTATCTATTTTTACTCTGAGGGAACTCTCGTGCTCCACTTTTGCGCCAAGCAGTTCCTCACTCCTCAACGAGCTGACCTTCCAATCGGCTTGTTGGGACCTTTGTCCTGCCGCTTCTTGGCTTCACAGACTCATTCACACCACCATGCACTGGAATAATATTTATTATTATTTTTACTTGCCAAAAAAGTCAAGTGTGCTACATTTTTAAGAACAAAATCTCCAAAACAATCAAATGCATTTACCCATCACAGAAGAGGGGCTGGCAACAGTACAAAACACCCTACTTAAGATTTTTTTTTTCTTTTTTAAATATACAAGTCAGTTTAAAATGATAGAAGTTCTGTGAGAACTAAGAAATCTACAGCCTGTAGTGTAATCATAGAAAAAAATTAAGACAATTAAAAGATCTAGAGCATCCAGCATTTTGCTTCATTCCCTGTTTTATAGCACCTATTTCTCTAGGTTAGAAGATGCGGGTTCTAGCGCCTATGCGAGTCTATGCCTTGTACCACACCGAGGTAGGGTCAACTCTCTCTCCCCTGCCCCTCTCGCCCAGCTCCCTCCTGCCCCTTCCCCCCTCCCCCCCTGCCCATCATCAAGACACTCTTAAACACATAACCCAACCCTCCGAGTCACACCCTGCAGGACTCAATCTGACCCTGGCCTTGCCCAGGGAAGGGCTGGCTGTTGGCAGCAGCAGTTCCAGCTCAGAAAGGGGGGAAACGGGGGGGTGAAAAACAGCTGTTCTCCAAGAAAGCAAGGGAGAGCTGGACATCAGGGTCAGCGGTGGCCGGCAAGTTTTAAAAAGAAAAAAAAACACAACAAAACCAACTCCTTAGATGCCACAGGCTGGAGGAAGGGAGGAGCCAGGAAGCAACAGATGCTTTGACAGGCTGTTGGCCGCGGGCAACCCCCCCACCCCCAACTCCTGAAACGACAGAGGGGACACGGCAGGCTCCACACTGCAATGCCCTCCCCCATCCTGATGCACTAACAAAACAGACGTTCCACATGTGGAACACTCAGAACACACAGGTACAGCACCCCCCGCACACCCCCACGCTCCCAGACTGAACCCCGTTTAGAAAAGAAAAGCAAAACCCACTGACTGGGCAGAGGAGGGGAAGGTCCCGAGGACCGGTGGGGTGTGGCTCCCAGCAGGCCCAGCACCGCCCCCCTCACAGAGCACAGATGTAGTGTGGTGTGAGGGAGGAGGGGGTTGCTGGGGGGCACAGGGACACGGACGCAGACGTGGTCCCCGCAGGAGGAGACACAGATGGGGAGACAAGCAGGACAGGGACCACTTTTTGGAAGCTTGCAGTCTAATGCAAAGGGTCTTTCTGGTGGAGAAACGCTGCCTTTCTGCGTTCATTTCCTATCATCAGTGCTGTTAGGTTCAGAAAACAAAACAAAACAAAAAAACAACCAAAAAACACCCAAAAAACACCCAAGGTAAAGATTAAGTCCTACAGCTGGACTCTGTGAATAGAGTTGTTTCTTTTATAAATATTTTAATTACAAGTAACCCTCACTCCTGGTCATCTCAGTGACACACGGCACTCACAGGCAAGCACACAGGTTCACACGCGCACACACAGCCGCCGGGCTTTCACGGAAAGCCTGACAGCGACCGGAGAATTAGAAAGGAGCCCCTGCTCCCCCGGGGAAGGACGGGTGAGGAGGACGAGTCGGCCGAGGGAGGCTGGGAGGACAAGTGTGTCACATAAAGAAAAAAGAAGAAGAAAAAAGGGATTCAACAGCAACATTTGGTTGAGAAGTCAGAAAGAAAAAGAGTCAAGTAAGATGCTGATTGCCCAAAAAAGGGAAAGGGGACCCAAAAAGTGTTCAGAATCCAGTACAGCGCTTCTTCCTGTCAGGTGCCTAAACCACGTGGGTGACTCTGGAGTCCCCACTAAAGCAAGGGCCTCACACAATTGGGGGGAGGAAAAAAAAGAGAGAGAGAAGCAAGGAAACTGAGGGTGGAAGTTAGTGTAAATCTCTGCATTTTGGGGGCGAGTTAGTAGTCATTAACTCCAGAGCCCAGCATAGTTGCCATGGAGCCCTGAAGGGAGGGGACCTCCTGCCACAAAAAGTTTCGTTCCGGACGAGTCGTAGCAGTGGGTGTAAACAGCATTGGGGAAGAAATCAATGTCCGAGAAGTAATTCCTCCAGGTTTCGTCATGATTCTACAGGAAGAGAAGGACACTTGGGTTAGGCCCACGAGACCACGGAGCAGGGAGAGGAAACAGCCCGACGGACGGCTCGAACTGTGTCAGGTTGCGGGCGGGTGGCTCAGGCCAGCTCAAGGAGTTGAGCAGTGCACTGCACACAGCAGGCCCGGCTCCAGCCGCAGCACCACACGCTCGCCTCAGCCCCTCTGGGAGCAATCCCCAAGCACCGCAGGTGGGTCCCCAAATCAAACAACAACAAGACAGCACTGATGCTCTCCGGGCCCGGAGTCTCAAATTTTCCAACTAAACCACCAGGAGGCAGTGAGTGGTCTGGAGCATGGCTACAGGGGCTGGAGGCATAGTGTAGCAGGTAAGGTGCCTTGCACACACAACCGACCCGGGTTCAATCCCTGGCATCCCATCCTGATCTCGTTGAGACCTGCCAGGAGTGATCCTTGAGCAGAAGCAGGAATAAGCCCTGAGCACCAATGGGTGTGGCTCTATTATAAAACCAAAACAAAACAATCACTTACACAACTGTCAGGACAGGCAGAACCAAATTCTACTTCATTATTATTCTGGGGAAGTAGGGGGTGGTCTCCCAGTAATGCTCAGGAGCTGAAAGCCTGGACCTGACGACGTGGGTCCAGCAGCACCAAAGCCACGAGGGATACCCTGGTGGTGTTTGAGGGCTCATATGGGGTGCCAGGGAATCAAACAGGGCTCGGCCGTGTGCAAGGCCCTGCCCGCTGCACTCTCCCCAGCCCGGCAACCAAATTCTTTACTAAATTCACTGGCAGTCTCAGAAGATTCCTCTCCTCCTTGCCCTGTCATCATCTTGGTGAAATTCTGTGTCAAACAAGTACATCTTACTGAGCCACAGTTTTTTCTTTCTTTTCTTTTCTTTTTTTTTTGCTTTTTGGGTCACACCCAGTGATGAGACAGAGGTTAATCCTGACTCTGGACTCAGGGATCACTCCTGGTGGTGCTCAGGTGATCATATGGGATGCTGAGGATGGAACCCAGGTTGGCCGCATGGAAGGCAAACGCCCTACTGCTGTACTATCTCTCTGGCCCCAGTTTTCTCTCTCTTTCTTTGGGTCACTCCTGGCTCTGCACTCAGGAGTCATTCCTGGCGGTGCTCAAGGGACCATATGGAATACTGGAAATTGAACCCGGGTCAGCTGTGTGCTAGGCAAACACCCTACCTGCTGTGCTATCGTTCCAGCCCCAGTTTTTTCTTTCTTTCTTGGGTTTTGGACCATACTCGGCAATACTCAGGGCTCACTCCTGACTCAGTGCTCAGTGACTACTCTTGGTAAGCCATACATACAGGATGCCAGGGAGCAAGACTCCATTGTGCTCTCTGGCCCACTGGGGCCGCAATTTTCTTACAGAAATGCAAAACCACAAGAGCACAGCCGAGGGAATGTGCTCTCTTTTGTTCCTAGAGACTCCGAGTGAAGAAGTCTGTGGCAGGCAGTGGGTGAGGGGCGGTGTGAGGGGTGGGCAGGATAAAGGGACCCTTCGGCCACTCACCAGCCAGCCTTTGCCTGTGGTTAGTCTCAGGTTCTCCCCTGTGAGTCTGGGCTTGGACCCGTAGGCCGAGAGCCGCTCTTCCAGGAATCTCTGAGCTCGGATGTCATAGAACAGCAGGGAGCCCTGGCCTGTGCCCACGGTGATGATGTGCTCGTAAAAGCTCACGGAGCGGATCCCTGCGGGAGAGAAGGGAGGGAGGCGTGAGGAGCAGGGAAGGTCTGTGCCGGAGGGAGAGCCTCCCGGGAAGCCATACGGCACCTCGGACGCCAGGCCGTGCCTCTCCCACGGCAGACGTCACTGACGAATCAGGCACAGACTCACAGGGACCTGCCCCTGTCCCGATACCCCCCCCCCCCCCCCGGCGTCCCAACAGCCTCACGTCCGATGCTGTCCCCACATGCCTTTGCTCTGCACCTCCTTGCCTCTCTGACTCACTCTCGAGTCACCTTTCCTAACTCCTGGCTATTAAATGTCTCCAACCTGGGAGCTACGGAGATGGCAGCTCACAGGACTAGTGTGTCTTGCATGCAGGCGGCCAGGGTTCAAGGCCGGGCACTGCCGCAAGCTACGCTGGAGCACTGTGCTGAGTGTGGCCCCACAATCTGCTCTCCTCACCCAGATTTTTAACTTGTGCACAGACTGAGGATGAGTTGCACATTCAAAACCCACTGCATCAATAAGGACTTCCTTTCATTGGGCCCAAAACTGCTATCATGAGGCCAGAGAGAGTGCACAGGAGATAACACTTGCCTTCCATGCTGCTGCTTTGGCTGTACACCTGGTTTGACTGCCAGCATTACATATAGTCCCCCAAGCACTGCCATAAGTAAGTCCCGAGTATCAATGGGACCACAATCGGTGGGTGTGATGCAAACAAAACAAAAAGCAGGACCCTAAGACTATTCGGAGTTTTTTTTTTTTTTTTTGGTCTTTCCGGGTCACACCCTGCAATGAATGCTCAGAGGTCATTCCTGACTCTGCATTCAGGGATCACTCCTGGTGGTGCTTGGAGGACCATAAGGAATGCTGGGGATCGAACCCAGGTCAGCCAGCCACGTGAGAGGCAAACAGCCTACCTGCTGTACTATCGCTCCGGCCCCAGACTATTTTGTCTTAAAACATGATCTTCCTTTGTTGTATTTTTGTTGGTTTTTGTACCATACCCAGAAGTGCTCAGGGCTTACTCCTGGCTCTTCACTCAGGGATCACTCCTGGTGGTGGGGTAGAGGGAAGAAAGGGAATTTTTGGTTAATAAGTTAGGTGAGGGCCAGGGATGTGGCTCAGGGGTGAAGAGCACCATGTATGCCTCGCATACAGAACTGAGGTTAATTCCCAGCACAGCAACAGAAAGGAAAAAAAGTTTTAAGGGGCAGGAGAGGAAGTACAGGGGTTAGGAAAAGTAAGTTTGCGGGGGCCGGAGAGGAAGTAGAGAGGTGAGAATCTTTGCCTTGCACAAAGCTGACAACAGTTTAATCCCTGACACCACATACAGTGTCCCAAGCACAGGTGAAACCAAGACCACATATAGTGCCCCAAGCCAGGTGAGACCAAAACCACATACAGTGCCCCAAGCCAGGTGAGACCAAACTCCTTTTACAACCCCCTTAGAAGAGAAAGTTCAAAGCTGGATGATCTGAATTCTGGTTCCTGGCTATCTCCTGACAAGATGCATGATACTGGGTCCATTATCTCATCACTATGGGTCACAAGTCTCGACCACCATGAAGAATCAACACTATCTTTTTCTACCCATTTCTACATCCCTGCCTCCCACCAAGGACTATTTGCAAAATGAAATGCGCCAGAGAAATGTATCCTGGAGAAAAATACTATGTCTGAGGGCGCTCTGTGAGTGGCCTGGCACACCCGCAGTGAGAGTTGAACGCCTCTGAGCACCCAACTTTGCTCTTCTGCATCCCATATGGTCCCCTGACACCTTCACGGACCATACACACTTGAAGTGCACGATTCGAGGTTTTAACACACCACACCACACCATTCGCAGCACCAACACCATCACAACTATGAACGCTGATCTTCACCCCACGAAGTCTTCTCTGGTCCCCTTTAAAACTCCGCACACCGGGGCCGGGGCAATAGTACAGCAGGGAGGGCATTTGCCTTGCACGCGTCTGACCCAGGCTCAATCCCCGACATCCTATATGGTCCCCTGAGCACCATCAGGAGTAATTCCTGGGTGCAGAGTCAGGAGGAACCCCTGAGCACCACTGGGTCTGACCAAAACAAAAAACAAAAACAAAAATAAAAAAACCTCCACACACCATCCTCAGTAAGAAATAAAATTTAAGGGCTGGAGCAATAGCACAGCGGGTAGGGCGTTTGCCTTGCATGCGGCCAACCTGAGTTCATATGCCCAGCATCCCATATGGTCCCCTGAGCACAGCCAGGAGTAATTCCTGAGTGCAGAGCCAGGAATAACCCCTGTGCATTGCTGGGTGTGACCCAAAAAGCAAAAAAAAAAAAAAAAAAAAAAGCAAAAAAAAAAAAAAAGAAATTTAAGCCTTAGGCAGTTCACCATTTGGAAAAAAAAACCCACAAACTGAGGTCAGCGTGATAGGACAGCAGGTAGGGTAGACGCTTCCCTTGTATCCAGTTGGCCCAACTTTGCTCTCCTGCATCCCATATGGTCCCCTGAGTACCAGGAATAATTCCTGAGTGCAGAGCCAGGAGTAACTTCTAAGTCGCGTGTGGTCCCCAAACACAACCACCCAACCAACCCACCCACAGGGAAGGAAGTAGGTTCTGACCAACGTCCTGCCTGTTCACTCTCCCCAATGGCATGTGTAGCCACACATTCCTCTGGGTTGTCTCAAACGCCCCACCTGGTGCCGGCACCCACCCACCAGGTTCCACAAAGGTCCCACCCCGAGAACTGAAGGTCAGCATTCTGGTGCCGTGAGCCCGAGTGGGGCAGCGGGACGCTTACCACTGCCTCTTTCCCTGGAGCACACAGACTTCACGTTGCCCGACGGCTGCCGTGGGTCCAGGAAGGAGACATGGGCTTGGGAGCCCACGGCATACACGGACCACTCGCTACCATAGGCCAGACACACATTCTCGCGGCAGTACGGCAGTTTGGTAGACAGGAGCTGAAAACAGACAAGGTGCTGCCGTGGACGCGGCCTTCGTTGCTGCAGCGGCGGCAGCTGTGGTGGCAGAGCTCGGGGCCAGAGGGCTCCCTCTGAGGGCTGGCCAGGACTCTGACTAGCGGTGCTCAGGGGTTCCGAGGCACTGGGGACGAGACTCAACCCATGGGCTCAGGTGTTAAGGCTTATTATGTTTGACCACTTGAGCGGGTCCTAGAACATCTTCCTGTTTAGGGTTTTTTGGGCCCCCCAGTGAAGCTCAGGGATTGGGGCGCCAACTTGGGTCAGCCGGCTTAACCCCTGCAGTCTCTCGAGCCTGCAGAGTGGCGAGTTTCTTTTTTCCGTGTTTCTTTTGGGAGCACTGTTCTCAAACACGCACTTCTGTGGGCTTTCTTCACACGGAAGCCACGAAGTGGGGAATAAAGAGAGAATCCTCCATGGAGGAAGCCAGGCCCTACTCCACTCCCAGGCATTGGAGAGAAAAGAGGGTGAGTTAAGACACACTAAGATGTGGGCACTGTGCCGGGGACAGGGCTCAAACTGCTTCATGCTTCACCCACAGGAACCTCAGGCTCCATCCCCAGCACCCACCGTCCCCCTGCACTGCACTGAACATGGCCCCCAACAGCAAACCAAAGGACAGAAGACTTTTGAGAAGCATGTCCAAACTCCACAGTCCATGCGCTGTGCAGTCATATGCCTGGACTCTTGCAGACTGGGGCTTTACAAATAAGAATGAAAAGAATAAAGCCAGAAAGGCAGCAGAGTGACAATAGGCAGGGCGCTTGTCTTGCATGTGGCTGACCCAGGTTTGATCCCTGCCATTCCGTATGGTCCCCTGAGCCCTACCAGGAGTTAATTCCTGAGGTAGAGTTAGGAGTAAGCCCTGAGCACCGCTGGGGATGGCCACCCATCATCCCCCAACAAAAACACTCTGGGAGGATGAAAGCACTTTAATGATAAGGTGAAATCTCAGGCAAAACCATTCAGTCACATTCACCTCACCTTAGACAGTGTATTTTCAGCCTTCCAGAGATGAAAGTAGCCATCCAGAGACACTGCTCCCAATTCCTACGAGAGCAACAACAGCCGGGTTAGTGTCCATCTGAAGCAGGAAGTATGCACTATAGCCTAGACAAAGTAAGACCCTGACACCTGGCAGCCCTGTCCCTCACTCCTAGCCTTGCCTAGGGCCGGGGGCGGGGGGAACGACGACGAAGACCTGTGGGGGACTGCCTGTCTGCAGTGCACTCCCAACTGCTTCTCATAAGCACCCAGAGCAACAAGTCCACAGGGTGTGACGACACGGACATCCTGCACCAGGGTCCTTCCTACACAGCCACATGACATCCTGCTGGGAGGTCTGAGCACAGCACAGACACTGCAGGGAGGGCAGGTCTCAGCCCGGGAGCATCTGGACCGGGGGGGGGGGGGGGGGGGGGGGGGCGGCGGCGGGGAGTGGGGGTGTCAGATGGGAAGCACCAAGCATCCGAGAATACAGATGGGAGATAGGGTGTGGCCTCATCTCACTCTGAAGAGAAGTATCCACTTCCTCAGTGGGCTCTGGGTCCCCACCCCAGCCCTGGACCGGCCACTGGCTCCGTGTCCAGTTAAGACCCGCTGGCACCATGGGAAAGAAACGGTAGGAGAGGAAGAACAGAAACAGCCCTGAAGGGCAAAAGCTGACTGTGTTCAGGGGCATGTATGAAAATCACACCGAAAATAGAGCAACTGTAACGGCACGTGCAAATCACAGTCAAATCAGAGCGGCCCTAGGGAAATGGAGGCTGCCAGCCGGAGGAAGGGCACACACGGGGCTGGGGATTCCGAGTGCAGCTCGAAACCCCTCAGTCCAGATGTGCCCGGGTGTCAGCACCAGTCTAAGAGCAAGCCGAGCTCAGGAGTGCGTGTCCCGAGACACAGGGCAGGAAGTGAAAGCGGTGGTGTGTGTGGGGGAGGGGGTGGGGGGGTAGGCAGGGATGGAAGGTCTGGGGGCCTGGGGGCTGCTCTGCCAGGCTCCTACCTTGTTCTTGCTGTTGAAGGCCAGAGCCCGGACTTTGCAGTTGTCAGGGTTTGTGTCCTCCTTGGGGATATCCTTTAAGGCCTTATGCGTGATGTGAGCGTACTCGGGGACCTGGGACTCATTCTGTCTTGCATCACTTCTGGTCAGCACATCGTCGGTCACTTCCCAGAGCCCCATGGAACCATCACGTGAGCCTGCAGAGCAAGGGAAGGCTGGGTGTCAAGAAGGCATGGTCATGTCTCCCCGGGCTACTCCTATAGAAGCTTGGGGGACCACGTGGGATGGGGGAACCAACCCAAGTCGGCTGCGTGCAAGGCAAACACCCTACCTGCTGTGCTATCACTCTGACCCCCAAAACTTGAACATCTTTGATCGTTTGGTCTCCCGATAGGGCCTAGAGGCAGCAGGGGTCCCTCCCAGGGATTACCCAGTCAACCAGGCCAGCGATTCAATGTGAGGGTCTGAGGTGCTGGAGGTACTTAGGTCATCCCAGTGGGGCTCCGACACCTCCAAGATTACAGCTGTGATACTCAGGGGGCCATGTGGTGTTGGGGACCAAACCAGGGCCGAACTACCCCTGTATTCCCTCTCCTGTCCCAATTTTTTTTTTTGGTTTTTGTTTTGTGTTTTTTTCCCCTCAAAATATTTTTCCTGAATATATTGCTGGTGGTAAACTAAGAGAGAACCATTTTTTTCTTTCTTTTTTTTTTGCTTTTTGGGTCACACCCGGCGATGCACGGGGGTTACTCCTGGCTCTGCACTCAGGAATTACTCCTGGCGGTGCTCCGGGGACCATATGGGATGCTGGGAGTCGAACCTGGGTTGGCCGCGTGCGAGGCAAACGCCCTACCCACTGTGCTATCGCTCCAGCCCCAGGACCATCTTTTTGAGTCTGTGGGGACTGAATTCAGGAGCTTCATATACTCTAGGCATGAGCTCAATCACTGGGTAACGCCCCCAAATCTGGACAATCTCTTATTATTTAGCTATTTTTATTTTTTTGTTTTCTGGGCCACACCTGGCAAGTTCTCAGGGATTACTCCTGGCTCTGCAGTCAGGAATTACTCCTGTTGGTGCTTGGGGGCCATATGGGATGCCAGGTTGGCTGCATGCAAGACAAGTGCCTTGCCTGCTGTACTATCTCACTCTGGCCCCTACTGAGTTATTGTTATAACTTTATTTATTTAAAAGCTTGGGCCACACCCAGTATTGCTCAGGGCTTATGTCTGGCTCGGTGCTCAGAAATCACTCCGGGCAGAGTTTTGGGGGACCACATGGGGTGCCAGGCATGAAACCTGGGCAGGCTGCATGTAAGGCAAACACCCCACCCACTGTTCTCTCTGGTCCCTCATTCATTTATTCACCCATTCACTCCAATCAGTGCTCTAGAGGCCTGGGTCTACTTCTGGTGATACTCAATTAGGATGGATGTCTCAATGCTCACCCCAACTATTTGGTACTGCTTGGGCCCAGCAGTGCTGGGGTAGGGGCAGGGGGTGGTCACTGAACTTGGGTCCCCATGCATTATAAGGCATGTACCCCTGACCACTGAGCCATCTCCCTGGCCCCACAGTACCATCCTCTAAAGTACAACTGGAAATCTGCTGCAAATGCCAGGAACATCCATAGTATGGTCGTAAAATAGTACCAAGAACTTTAAAAAAAAAAAGTGCTTCTAAATTCCTGTCCAGCAGTTATCTGCCAACTCTCCTTTGGGACCAGAAGGTGGCCTTTCCACATGGCAAAGCTCTTGAATGCTTCAGAAATTATCAAACATGGGAAAAGATATCATCTACTTTGTTGGCATCATACAGCTTAGGGGCAGGCTTTCAAAGCAGAGGGTTCATCAGGTGTGAAATCTAGAAAAGGCCAGAGAAAAGGCACATCTGGAGAATTATGCATGGCTTATTGTGCAAGAAAAAAAATTTTAAGTTAAGCTAACCAAGTTTTATTAAGAAAAATGTCAGGCATACTAAAGGTTGAGTTTCCCAACAAATTATTTATTTACACCAATATTCTATTTATTTGCTAGATGCTGTGTCTATTTCTCTGTCCACCCTGCTATCAAAGCCCATTTCTACCAGGTGGGCAGGGGCTTCTCTTGGCTCTGTGCTCAGGGGACCATGCGGTAGCTGGGAATAAACCCGAGCTTCTTGCATGCAAAGCATGTGCTTGACCTGCCGGAGCATCTCTTCGGCCCCTCTTTTTCTTTTCCTTTTTTGGTTTCAGCGCCACACACAGCTCCATGACTGAGGGTCACTCCTGGCTGTGCTCACAGGTCTCAGGCTCCTCCATGGAAAGGAGGAGCTGTGCTCCAGCCCCGCGAGTCTCTCCCCCGTCCTTACTAGACCTGAGTTTGTCCTTCTGGCCACTTTCAACTTGCCTTACAAAGAAGCCCAATATGTATGTTCCTTTTTTGGCTTTTTGGGTCACCCCAGGTGTTGCACAGGGGTTACTCCTGGCTTTGCAACTCAGGAATTACTCCTGGCGGTGCTTGGGGGACCATATGGGATGCTAGGAATCGAACCCGGGTCGGCCACGTGCAAAGCAAGTGCCCTACCTGCTGTGCTATCGCTCTAGCCCCATATGTATGTGCCTTTAGACCTGTTAGTCCTGACTTTGAAATCAGATCAGACTCAGATCCTAGATTCAGATCCTGCCTCTGTGTTTCATTTTATGGTATCATTTCATAATCTAATTATTTTGAGAAGTAAATATTTTGTATGAAATATGTATTTAATGATGATCATTCTTTTCTCTTTTTCCTGGCAGTGACGGGAACCAAAATGCACTTGTGCAAGTCATGTACTCTACCTCTGCATCATATCCCTGGCCCTATTATGATCATTCTTTAAAATTTGGGAACCTAGAATTAGGGGGTTCTATCTCTACATAAGGGTTGGAAGAACTGCTTTTCAAGCTGCTGTGGAAATCCAGAAAGAACTTGTTTTTAATCTCTATGTTATCTTTTCTACAATTATTTGTGTAGTTTTGGACTGCTTTAAACTGGAAAAGAAAATTTCCCAATCTTATAAAGCTCTTCACAATCAACAAGAAACAACTCTTGGGGCTGGAGGTGTATCACAGGGGTCAAGGCACTTGCCTTGCATGCAGCCAACCCCAGTCTGATCCCCAAGTACTGCATCTGGTTTCCCTGAACACTCTCAGGAGGAAGCCCTGAGCATTGCCTCAAACAAGAAGCAAAAACCCCAAACAAAACCTCTGATATACAGACAAGAATTACTCCTAATACTTTGCAGAGCACAACAACTTTTTCAGAAGGCCACCCGAGGGGGCCCTGGATATGGCCAGTGAGAGGGCTTGCTTTGCATGTGTGAGGCACTGGTTCCGTCCTCGGCACCACACACACAAAAAGAAATGAATTAAATAAAAACCTTAACGATCATTATCTTCCCCCCAAACACAAAATGCTGAGACTGGTTGCTGCATGCGTGACTAAATATAGCATGTCAGCACCTCCACTTTCCAGACCAGGAATATACACAGGAAGTGACTTGTTCAAAGTCATGTGGTAAGCCAATACAGGAAACAAGATCTTTGTCCCCTGGCTGATGGGTCTATTACTGGGCTGCCACAGTCATACAATTGTCCCCTTTCTATTCTCTGCCACACACCCCTCCCTGCCACACCAAAGGCTCCCTATGAAAGGGCAATTTTACCAGATACTGCCATAGTATCACTGATCCAAGCAATGGAAAAGATCCAGTCCTTGTGTCCATCCTTGAGGAGAGCGACAGTCCGGAACAGCGAGGGGGGAAAACAACAGATTAGTAAAACAAGGATCACAACAGACTCCCGCTAATCCTACAACTCTGATGAAAATACTGTTGTGAAATGACCAACTTTCTTCCCTGATCCTGCGGCACACGGTCCCACGATATGTTGATTATCCCAAGGAGTTCAAAGGTGGAACGCCACTGGCATTCCTGTGGGCACAAGACACGAGGTGGAGGACGCAGGGTCCTGGCTTCCTTTCTCCAATGTCTTACAGATGTCTCACTTGGGGCTCCTACTCGCGGTCACCCGTCACCCATCCCGCCAACCTCCTCCTACACGCCCACCCTTGCTCCCTCCCTCGACAGCTGCGCCCGCGCTCTGCTTCTTTGCTTCCCCTTCTGTCGGAAATGCCTGAAACTCTCTTCCTCCAGACATCACCATGACTTGCACCCTCATTTCCTTAAAGCCTCCTTGAGTAAATATTGAATTTTTGCTTGCTTTGGGGCACACATGGTGCCCAGGGATATTCTCGGCATAGTGCTCGGGGTCAGTCTCTGCAGTGTCCGGGGACCATGTAAGGCTGGCCGAATCGGGGAAGAACTGCTCTTTGAGCTATCTCCCTCAAACACCACACTTACCTATGAAGTCCTCCGTGACTACCCTCTAAATAGGATTTTTTTTGGTGCTTTTTGGTTTAGAGCCACACCCAGTGATGCTCAGGGATCTCTCTCAGAGGTGCTCAGGAGACCATATGTGGTGTCAGAATTGGAGTCAGCTGAGCTCAAGGCAAATACCTTATCTTCTATCTTTCAGCCCCTCTGAACCAGAGTTCTAATCCAACAATAGCCTCTCTTTCTTCAGACCAAAGGTTTCTAAAACTTTTCCACTAACAACCCCTTTTTGTCCGAGAAATGCAACATAGCGGAGTGTCACTCTGATTCATCATGCAGTTGACTCTGAATTAATTTCTGGTGTGTTCAGAAACCTTTTCCTGTTGCCAAAGATTTCACAACCCTCCCATACAATAACTGAACTCCTTATGTAATCATGAACCCCAGTTAAGAAGCTAAGTTTTGAGGGTCAGAGAGAGAAAGAGTATGGGGGTTAAGGTGCTTGCCTTCATGCAGCCAATCTTGGCTCAAATTCTTATGCCACGTATGAGCCCCCCTAAACACTGCCATCAATACCTTGAGTATTTCTAGATGTGACCCAAATGCCCAGCAAAAAAAGAGAAGCTAGGCATTAGACCGCTCATTATTATTATTATTATTATTATTGGTCTTGGGCCAGCCACTGCCTGTGATGCTCAGGAATTACTACAGGCAGTGCTTGGGAGACCATACAAGACACTGGGGATAGAACTCAGGCTGGCAGCATGCAAGACAAATGCCTGACCTGCTGTACTACCTCCCCAGCCCAGCTTTTACTACTCCTTTTGCTCTTGTGGTACCAGGAATTAAACCCAGGGCCGCACAGATATAAGGTAATCACTGTACCACTGAGCCGCATCATCCCTGTGATACTTTTTACTATGGGGGTTCACATCCCATGATGCTCAATGTTACTCCTGGCTCTGCACTCAAGATACACCCCTGGCGGTGTTCTGGGGACCATCTGGGATACAAGGGATAGAACCCGGCTCTGCTGTGTGCAATGCAAACACCCTACCTGGTGTACTATTGCTCCAATACTATTTTTGCAGGGAGGGAGGTGGCGGGGGGGAATGTTTCACACTGACCTATTGCTGGTAAACACATACTGGCTGAGGGGCTAGAGAGGTAATTTAAGGAGGGGACAGGCTTTGCTTGGAGGAAGCCTGGGCTTAATCCCTGGCACCACATGATCTCCTGAGCACCAGTGGGAGTGACCTCAAGCTAGGAGTAGTCTCAGAGCAGTGCTGGGTCTGCCCTCCCCACCCAGAGTGAAACAGAAACAAAATTGTGAGGGGCCAGAGAGATAACACAGTGGATAAGGCCCTTGCCGTGAATGCAGCCCATCCAGATCTGATCCCCAGCACTGTACCTGAACCCCGCCAGGAATGACCCTGAGCGCAGAGCCAGGAGTAAGCACTGAGCAGTACAGGGTGTGGCACCACAAACAAACAACCAACTACCAGAAAATGCAGCTGCTGTGCCTCCTTCCACAACAGGGGTTTACCTGCTGCAGGTGCTGAGACCCCAATGTCTGGAGCAATGCTTGGCCACGAAGGCCCAGCAAACAGCTGGTGAACAAATGTTCCCTTCTGTCCACGCTATGTGCCGGGGCACGCATATAAACAAGCACCGGTGACTTCCACACCAGATCGTGGTGGTGGGCCTGAGGCTGCTTGCCTCTTTATCAGACTCGGGCTCTGAGTCAACAGACCTGACAGGGCTCCCGTGGCAGGAGTCCAGTCCCACTCCGCTATCTCTCTCTCTCACCACACTCCCCTCCTCCCCCACAACCGCTGGAGGGGTCAGCAGAAATCTAGAGGGAACGATCCTTTCCTAGGGGGTTCACAGTTCACGCTGGGGTTTAAGACAGATGCCCACACACCGCCAACAGTGGGAAAACTTACATCTCCCACACACACGGGGTCTAGCGTAGGCAGCCGGTAGATGGCGAGACTGTTGGGGTTGTCTCCTCCCGTGGCCAGCAGTGTGCGAGAGGGGTTCAGCTCGATGGCATGGATACCACAGCCCTGCTGGGTCACACCTCCAGGCTCTCGGTCCTTCAGAATGGGAATCTTGGTGATCTGGCTCGTCTGGACATCCACTACAAAGAGCTACGAGGGAAAAGGTACACAGAAGCGGAACTCCGTAACGGGGCCAAAGCTCAGTAGGCACAAGCATGCAGAAACGTGAGTTGCACGACAGGCACACTGCTGGGAATGATCAAACGCATAGTCGGGAGGATTAGTCAAATAAAAGATAATAAGGTAATAAGAAAATACGGCAGAGAGAGGTTAAAATATCCTCTGGCTGACACAGATTATGGGTAGCAGTAATTCTGCCTGGGATTCAAAGGTGCTGAAGAAGATGTTCGACAGACTTAAGGACTAAGAACTTAATTTAAGGTTTTTTTGCCAGTTAGGGCATATTTCATACATCTCATTCTTACCTGTCCAGGCACAGACACTTATAAACAAAAACATACTTCCCAGAATGTGTCAAAACCATTATTAAAAACAGTCCTAAACCACAGGTACAAGCAGAGCCGAAGCAGCGCAACACCTCAGAGAGCAGGGCAGCAAAGTGTGTAAGCATAGTAGCCAGGTGTTCATGGGACCCTGGGTCACTGCAACAGTAAGAAGGGAAAGGAAAGGAAATTTCTGAAGGAAAGAAAAAGAGTAAGAGATCAAGAAAATGGGAGATATGACTTTTGCTGACTTAAAAATGGCCCAGTTCCATGACTGATCTTGGAGAGACGCCACAGCTGAGCCAGCCCAGGTAGGTCGGACTCCTGGCCCAGATCTCTGGAGCCTTCTTGGGATGGGGGGAGGCCAAGCCCTGGCCCTGGCAAAGGGCCCAGCGCTCCACTCACACCTGACTTCCGGCAGTATACATGATGGCCCAGCTGAGACATCAAGCTGCTGAACCATCCCAGTTCAACTCCTGGCCCACGCGGTCACGTACCTCCAGATTTCAAGTACTAACAGCCCAGCAGGAACAGAGTAAATCAGATAGGAAAGATGCATCGAAGTCCACTTAGCTCAATGAACAAAAACAATAGCCGGAAGGCTCAACTAGCACCTGACAGCTCAGTAAATCCTCAGACAGTACCTTAGAGTAAAGTATGAGATACATGGGACAAGCTTGGGAAGGTGAGGGGACTGGGGACACTGGTGGAGGGCGGATCATGCTGGTGGTGGCACTGGTGATGGAACACTGAATACTTGAGACAACTGCATTATGAACACTTGTAAATCAGGGTGTTGAAAGTTTCACATATCTTTTTTTCTTTTAAATGTAAGGTATAGCATCTCCTGACTTTATAGTAATCAAAATAGCATGATACTGGATTAAGAAGAGACCAACTGATCAATGGATGAGAACTGCAAACAAAGAGATAAACCCTCAAATCTATGGACAATTGATCTATGGCAAAGGAGCGAGGCATATGAAATGGAGCAAGGAAAGTCTCCCAACAAATGGTGCTGGGAAAACTAAAGAACTACCAAAAAAAAAAAAAAATATATATATATGGTAACATTGGTTTGTCCTTCCTCCTCCCACTGGGAGCTGAGGTTTGTTGAGTTACTCCTACCATAGAGCTCCCAAGGCACACCCAATTCCATCCAGGTGTTCATCCAAAGTAATTATGTTTTCTGGTCACGTCCAGAATTGCGCAGGACTTACTCCTGGCTCTATGCTCAGGGATCACTCCTAGCAGGGTTTGGGGGATCCTATGGGAGATGCTGGGGATCAAACTTGGGTTGGCTTTGTGCAAGGCAAGCACCCTACCTGCTGTGCCATTAGTCTTTCGAAGTATTATAAGATTTCGTCGGTAAAGAAACAAACAGCACCTGGCCCAGACAAGGTCAGACCTGAACACCTGAAGAACCTGCCGTCAGTACTCATCAATACACTGGCTCGGCTCTTCACTCGCTACCTGTCTGAATGCAAGGTTCCGTCCCAATGGAAAATCAGCAGGACCGTACTACTGTTCAAGAAGGGAGACATCCATGACATTGGCAACTATCGCTCGATCTGCCTATTGTCTGTCATCTACAAGTCGTTCACTCGAGTCATCCTAAATAGGATTGGCAGAACACTAGATGAAGGACAACCATGCGAGCAAGCCGGGTTCCGCAAAGGATTCAGCACCATCGACCATATCCACACAATAACCAAGCTCATTGAGGTTTCTCGGGAGTTCAAGATGCCGCTCTGTTTAACGTTCATTGATTTAAAGAAGGCCTTTGATTCTGTTGGGATGGAAGCGGTCATTGAAGCCCTAGCCAATCAGGGCACTCAAGCCCAATACATCAGGATCCTCCGTGAGCTGTATTGCGGATTCACTACCAGGATCTCACCATTCTACAAAGAAGTGATCGTTGATGTCAAGAGAGGGGTTCGGCAGGGTGATACCATTTCACCGAAACACTTCAGTGCCACCCTCGAGAACATCATGCGACGACTGGAATGGGAAGGAATGGGAGTGAAGATAGATGGTCGGCAACTACACCACCTCCGCTTTGCTGATGACATTGTTTTAATAACACCAAACATCAGCCAAGCGGCACAAATGCTGGCCGACTTTGACCGTGAGTGTGGAAAGGTAGGACTACAGCTGAATCTTATGAAGACAATGTTTATGAGAAACAGCCTCGTTCCTGACGTCCCATTCGCTCTCAACGGAACGACCATCTCCGAATGCAACAGCTATGTGTACCTAGGTCGAGAGGTCAACATGACAAATGACCTGGCACCCGAGCTGCGCAGGAGGAAGAGAGCGGCTTGGAACGCCTTCAAGAACATCGAAGAAATAGCTAAGAGGACGAAGAACCTCCGGCTCCAGGCACATCTCTTTGATTCCACTGTTCTTGCTGCATTAACATATGCCTCAGAGACCTGGGCCCTACGCAAACAAGATGAGAACGCTATTCAGGTCTCCCAAAGAATAAATAGAAAGAGCTATGCTTGGAATATCACGTTTCACTCAAATGAGAGAAAGAATCCGGAGTTCTGACATCTGTCGACGATCAAGAATCAGGGACGCTGTCTCATTTGCCACGGTGTCGAAAATCAGATGGGCTGGTCACGTAATGAGATTTAAAGACAACCGCTGGACTAGAGCTGTTACCGACTGGATTCCACGGGATGTCAAAAGACCGCGTGGCCACCCACCTACCAGATGGTCAGACTTCTTCGTCAAGATCATGAACGATCGGTTTGAGGCCCTTCATGTTCCCGGAGCGAACAGATGCCATTGGGCTACACTAGCACGCAACAGGGACAAATGGAGACGTTACTGGCGCCCGCTCGAGCAAATCGAAGACTAACGGAAGTTAAGTGATTTAAGTGATAAGATTTCAAGATTAGACCAGAAGTCACAAAACATGCAGTGGCAAATACAAATAAAGGCAGAATGCTGCAGGCTTTATACCTCAAAAGTGTTTTCAACTCTTTGACTCAACTAGCAAAGATAACAGAAACAAAAGTAAATGGGACAACATCAAACTAAAAAGGTTTTGTCATCTATGAGGGAAGCATTCAATCTGCAGAGGGAGGTGGTGCTGAAGCCTGGTAAAGTGTGATGTAGGAAACCCAATCAGCAACAGTACTGTAAACCACAGTGCAGAAACATGTGTGTGTGTGTTACACCTCGGGGCTGGAGAACAATACTCCAGCATGTGGTAGGGCATTCGCCTTGCATGAGACCAACCTGGGTTCGATTCCCAGCATCCCATATGGTCCCCTGAGCACCGCCAGGAGTAATTCCTGAGTGCAAGACCAGGAGTAACCCCTGTGCATTGCTGGGTGTGAACCCCCCCCAAATATATATATAGCACCCCATATGGTCCCCCCCAAGCCCCACCAGGAATAATTCCTGAGTGCAGAGTCAGGAGTAACCCCTGAGCATCAATGAGTATGGCCCAAACCAGCAGCCCCCCCCAAAAAAATTAGAAAATAGAAATACTGTATGCCTGACATCCAATCATGAACAACTTTGTAATTTCAGTGACCAAATAAAATCCAAATAAAAAATAAAAAGGCTCTGCATGGCAAAAGTAATACAGTTGTTTAAAAATAAAGACACCCTTACCAAATGGGAAAAAGTATCTAAACATAATAAACAACCCCACAAAAAAACCTCCAGAACTCAACCACCACCATGCTCACGGCAGCTCTCCACACATTCAGGTTGAGCTTCACGCAGGAGTGATCCTTTTCCTGACCCTTCCTAGGACATCACTTGTTACACTTGTCATCCCACTGGTCATCGATTTGCTCGCGTGGGCGCCAGTAACGTCTCCATTCGTCCCTGTTGCATGCTAGTGTTGCCCAATGGTGTCTGCTTGCTCCAGGAACACGAAGAGCCTCAAACCATTTGTTCAGGGGTTTGACGATGAAGTCTGACCATCTCGTAGGTGGGCGGCCACACGTTCTTTTGACATCCCGTGGAATCCAGTTGGTAACAGTTCTAGTCCAGTGGTCATCTCCAAATCGCATTACGTATTCAGCCCATCTGATTTTCGACGCCTTGGCAAATGAGACAGCATCCCTGATTCTCGATTGTCAACAGAGGTCAGAACTCCGAAATCTTCTCTCACTTGAGTAAAGAGTGTCACTCCAAGCATAGCTCTTTCGATTCCTCTTTGGGATACCTGAATAGTGTTCTCATCTTGTTTTCGTAGGGCCCAGGTCTCTGAGGCATATGTTAGTGAAGGAAGAATGGTGGAGTCGAAAAGATGTGCCCGGAGCCGCAGATTCTTCGTCCTCTTAACCTCTTCTTTGATGCTCTTGAAGGCATTCCACGCCGCTCTCTTCCTCCTGCGCAGTTCAGGTGCCAGGTTGTTTGTCATGTTGAGTTCTTGACCTAGGTACACGTAACTGCTGCATTTGGAGATGTTCGTTTCGTTGAGGGCAAATGGAACGTCAGGAACTAGTTCGTTTCTCATGATCATTGACTTCGTGAGATTCAACCTTTCCGACCTTTCCACACTCACAGTCGAAGTCGGAAGCGGAGGTGGTGTCGTTGCTGACTGTCTATCTTGACCCCCATTCCTTCCCATTCCAGTCACTGCATAATGTTCTCAAGGGTGGTACTGAAGAGTCTCGG